GCTTCTAGCGGGCTTCGATACGTCCACGAAAAGCCCGAATATGAACCCGATAATGAGGCCCGGGATGAAATTCTCCGGCTTGAAACTCACACCCAACCATTCTCTTTCCTTTTTCTGCAGCTGCTTGGGAATAAAATATATATATATATATATATATATATATATATAGAAGTATGTATATAGATATATATAATCTAAATTTCACAAATTTAGGAACTAAGAAATGATAAGCTTAAGAAAAAGACGAGTTTTTTATATACCTTTTTGGAGTTGGAGATGGAAGAAGGGTGCCTGAAAGAGTTCATAATCACAAATTTTCCGTTCTTTTTTCTCTTTTGCAGGTTGCAAGGGCGATAAGACGAAGCAAGTGAGTATGTGGGCCTGTGGTAAGCACACAAGGGATAAAATAAACATTACGGACCAATGGGCTTATATCAGCCCATTTAATCTGAATACGACCAGACCTTTTGTTGCACATAAGAGAGCCCAGGATGATAGTAAGACCCGGCAGTTAAAAAGGCGCTTTTCAGTAGCCCATATTATAATTAAAAAAAAGTGAAAATGCTCTGTACTCTGTAGTGCATAATATATGGTGGGATATGTGTATGGCCCTAGCATTGTTTCTAAGAATTCAGTATGCTGTAACTTTTCGATGAGATCCTTAATTTTTGTTATAATATTGTAGAAAGTTCAAGATTTTCGTAAAAGAAAATTTGATAGCAATTGAAAAAATGAAAACAATTTGAAAATATAGGCCACCCTACCTACTTGCCCAAATCGAGTTCTGAACAGTTGGATCAACGCCACCAACATGAGTGCGTGTGCATGTGTGATGCTTGAAACCTTACAAGGGCGATAGGGTCGAATTGGCCATTCATCAATGGTGCGCGTCACATTGAGACTCAAAACTAGTAAAGATGATTATATTATACTTTTTATATTTTTAGTTGGTATGACTTTAACTAGTAAAGTTGATCTAACAAATTTTAAGGTGTGTTTGTTAAAGAAATATTTTGAGTGAATTTAACTCAAAGTGAGTTTTTAAGTTTTTTTTTTTTTTTTTTTT